TCATGAAATTGCAATTTAATGGGAACGTGGCTAGGGAAGTCTTACAACATCTGAGATTATCGAGAGCGATAATAAAGGAATTATACTGCCGCCGCCGTCACCCTTTGTTTGTCATTTTTGCAGTTACCGACCAATTATGATTGCTCAAGTGAAAGACAAGCTACCTGGCTAGCTAGCTGTGCCACTTGTATGTGTATCTATAAATTTAGTTGCTCCTGTGTGGAGAAAGTTAGCTGTATAGGGCGAACAACTAGATTGCTTAATAAACACATCAATGAGCATCTTCCTTCCTTCATGGTTCGGAAAAGGTCAAATAAAATCTATAAGAAGTTCTATTTTGGCTCATTTGATTGATGATAGCGGTCATCAAGTGGACAGAAGTAGTGCCTTCACAGTTATCTATCGAATTCGAACTCTCCTTTTACGCATAGCCAAAGCTATGGGAGTTAATTCGAGAGTACAATCCTAGTCCATTATGGGTAAGATTCTTTTTGAGCAGTAGCACTAAGTAGCACAAGAAAAGACCTAAATGATGAAATGAAACAGACAGACAGAAGAAGAGGCGTTGGTGTCAAATAACTAACTATCCTATAAAATACATTAAGAAGATCAGTTAAGGCCAAAAGTAAAATCGAAAAATAATTGTGAAACTAGTAATGATAACATAAATAAGAGAGAATATAAGTCATCCACTGTTATACCATATAAGGAGGGAGGGGACATCTGAGACCCCTACGTAGGATTCTTAATAACAAAGCAGGAATTAGGCTGGTGGTGGCATTCAAACCTACAAACTCACTCAATCAGGTAGGACAACCTCTGTAGGTAGGTTAAAGGAACCTGTCGGTTCATCCAATTAAACAACATTATATAATTTACAAAATACCCTGCAATCACTGTGAGTTAGGTCAACTACATAGGTAAAACAGACTAGTAGATCGGGGGTAATCAGATTGTCGGAACATAAGAATTTAGCTAAGGTAAGAATGGTTGACCCCACCCAAGAAGATAGTAATTTAGAAATAAGCTCAGCAATTGCACTTCACGCATTAACACACAACCGCACAATAGGGTGGGTGGGACAAAGTTTAAATTCTAAAAAGTAATCTAGGTAGGTGAAGAGCGAGAGAGTTTGATTACGGAATCCTGCCTGGTTCATCGAGTCTACACACAACACAACACAACACATGCAACAGAAATGACTCAATGCAAATACCAGAGATATGTGTGGAAGATATTATTACCACCAGTCACTCAGTCAGTCAGTCAGTCAGTCAGTCAAATCAGAGGAGGATAATAAATAATCTTAAATTGTATTCTATTTCAATTCAAGTTCATCACATTTTTATTTCAATATCTAATCATCAATTTCACTCATGTATATAAATGAAGGAAGACGAAAGTTGTGTGAGTGAGTGAGTGACTTGATATGATCATGAGTGGCAATAATAAATTGTGCTCGAAGCGTGTGGTCGCATCAGTTAATATTACTGTATAATAATAATAATAATAATAATAATAATAATAATAATAGCAATTTGCTTTATTCCAGAAACAATACTAGTGGTACAGTGTGGAATTTTCAGCACATATCTACAATATTTGCATCTAATTTTACCGACATTTAAAATAAGTATTAAACAAACAAAAAAATAAATCCGAAGACACCAACAGCAAAAAAACAGGATAAACACAAAATAATTATGAATGCGAAAAAGTACCAAAGTCTACCAAGGTCTAATGCAGTGCTTGTGGTAGTAGTGTGAGTAATCCTGAATAATACAAAATTTTTTAAGGTGGTGACTATGGCGTTCACAACTAATGATTGTCAGTTAATATTGCCGAAAAGTATAGAAAATAAGAAAAAACAACCACAAAACTAATAATTACATGATGGTTAATGACAGGACAACTTTTGTAATACTCATAGTGCTAATATAGTCGGAACCAGTACATACACAAAAGAAGGAATATAGTAAAGTACAAAAAAGGAAGCCAATGTTGATATTTTAGGTAGCTAAGTATGTTTAAGAAGGAGTTCACTATAGAATACAAAATAAGAGAGAAATAAAAGAGCCTAAAATTATGTTATTAACAACAAAGCAAGTCACAGGTTTCACGCTTAACATTGTCTTTGTCGCTTAGAACACGGGCCAAATATGGTATTGTTGAGTTCCTGTACTTGGTTGTACGAGCATAGATTATTTTATACTGATTTCTGGCTTTACTTGATGAGATACAAGGAGAGAGTTGGGAATAGAGGGGGTATTGTGGGTCGGAGAGTATGGTTTTTGACCATTTTTCGCATGTATTCAGATGCGTGTCAACTAAGGTAGTGACGAGCTGACTGAGATTTACACCACTAGTCCTACTGATTACCTTCAACATCCTTCTCAGGATGGTATAGTCCTTTTTCAGTAGACCAGGAAAGACTAACACTACATACACTGTGTGTGACAGTTTATCAAAATAAAATGCTATGAATAATGAAGAAAATACGATCTGATCGAGATCTGACTATGCTGGAAACTGATCATTTTCTAGAATATATAATACTGAATTAATTCCGTACTTTTGATAAGTGCAAATTACTTAACAGAGAGGGTTGGAAGAAATAACCAATATTTCGGAGATTAATTCATTGAGAAAAATATGAATTCAGCACCAAGGAGAGTCAGTATGACAACGGTTCCGAAAAAAATTAATGTTCATAATACTATAGTTCCTCGGTGACAACATCAGCGAAATAATAACAAAGCGCCTCAAGAAGAATGCAGTTAACAGAGCTTATTATGCAGCAGAGGTACGTTGTCTCTTCACAACCACCCCTATTCTATGTTCAAGAAATAAGGATAAACTACCTAAATTCGCCTCTTCTATGTGTGTTTACCAGTTTGACTGCAGATACGGAGCCAGCCAGCTTCATTGGGCGTACAATTAGGCAGTTTCATCGTCGTATTTCCAAACATCATCCTGCAGCATGGTTAAGCAGCAAGGAACAAACAAGATCTATTCGTAGCTAGTTCTATTTTAGCACACCTTGTTGATACTGAGCACAACGTTGATGTGAATACTGCATTTAAAATTATTTATCGCATTCCGACTAATCTTAACTTTGCTCTACGAGTTCGTCTTCTACTTACGACAGCTGAAGCAATCGGAATCCACCTGAAGAAGAAGCCAAACCTGTGTGTATTCAGAAGAAATTTGTACAGCAACTTTCCTTACAGTGGCCATCTCTAGAAGAATGCATAAACAGGACTACGTCGCCCTCCTCCCCCTAAACCTTTAAAAACTAAAAAAATTATAATTGTCCAAATTATTTTATTTAATTTTTTCTGACCACTTCATCTTTAATTACGTGTTATCCTTGTAAAATTAATTTATTCTAACCATTTCTACCTTTCTGACTGTGTGTGTATTGATTTTCTTCGTTAATTATCAACCCTCTGCTTGACATTTTGACACTGACTAATTATTGTTAACAAACAAACATATCAGTGCCACTTGATGATTGGTAAACTGTTGTGTATTGTAATAAAAATGCTATACGTGTATATTATTAGAGTAGAGCCACAGTGAGATGAGGGAGGATCTAATTGAAAAGTAAATATTTCTTCGCTCAATCTTTCTGTTTTCAGAGAGAAACTTAAACCCTTTAAGTCATGTGTTTTTTTTTGGTGGGTGAGCACCTATCGTTCACATTGTTATATTGTCTTGAAAATATCTTGCAGGTTGTGTTTTTTAATCCGCTCACTGACTCACAGAATCCACAACATTTGCAGTCCGGAAACTATAGAAGAGGAGCTGAAGACCCTGAAAAGAATCCTCCTTGAAAACGGTTACCCGGAACGTTTCATCACAAAAGCCATGAAGCCCAAAACACAAAAACCGTCCATGCTTACTGCTCCCAAGAAACTTCCCCATTTGAATCTACAATTCAACGGAGATTCTTCAGCAGAAATACTGAGAAACCGCCTGTGCCGTTCACTGAAGAAAACCTTCTTCGCAGCTGAACTCAGACTAACTTTCTCTACGAAACCAATGATTCGCACGAACGTGAAGGATAAGCTTCCACTGGGGGCCTCATCAATGTGCATCTACCAATTCACCTGCTCATGTGGAGCGAGGTATGTTGGCCGTACCCAGCGTTTGCTATCCAAACGAATCAGCGAACACTTACCTTCATGGTTTAATAAAAGAGAAAGAAGATCCCCCCGCCACAGCTCTATCCTAGAACACTTGATCGAATCCGGACACCAAGCAAACCCACAAAACAACTTCTCAGTTATCTACACAATACGTGGGAATCTTGCCAAAAGAGTACGAATTAAACTTCTTCAAACTGCAGAAGCAATGGCAATTCACATATTGAATCCTGAACTCTGCATACAAAAGAAGTTTGTTCAGTCACTAAATCTACAGTGGTCCTGATCTATCTTAACACCAAATACGTAACTTTTTCTTACCTCTTTCTTCTTTGTTCGTCTGTTTCTTAATTGCATTATTTTCTACCCTCACCCTCTATTAAATCTCTACCCTCATGACGACTGTTGCCAACTCCATTTTCGTTTACTTTTAAGTGAATTCTACTCAGCTTATTAACTTAACTCTCATTCATTTTCAAGTGAATTCTACTCAGATTATTAACCTGACTCTCATTCATTTCTCACTGAACCCTAGCAATAAGATTACGTCACCTAACCTACTTTTGTAACTTTATTTTAGTTTCTAACCGATTAACGCCTTCTAAATTACGTAATTTGTTGTCAAAAAATTGACAATTGCATTAACACATCTTTGGAAATATTCCTTTTGTTGCCAAGAAAAATTACTATAAATTTGCGGTTTGTGCAGCTTGAGAATGATATCGCCGAAAAGAGTAACTCTTTGCTGAACGCCTTTTCTTTTCTATGACTGAATGGGAATTTTCAAATTACTGTGTTTTATTTATTTATTAACCACAAGTATAAATTTGAAAAAAAAGCAGTTTCACTCACTGATATCCTTTTACTTCTTGTCCATGATCTTCCACCGGATGGTTTCTTATTATTATTATTATCCATTTCGTCAATGTTGTTCGTCAATGTACAGATCTCCAGGTCACCTGCACCTTGTTCTGTTGACAAATTATTATTATTATTATTAGTCAGTTGACTGCAGTTGGGCTGAATACACTTTTGAATAAAAAATTTCCGACTATCAGTTTGTTTATCTTCGGTGGGTGTGTTCATTTAAATTTAAAAAAAGATTAAACAATCTCTTTCCCCCGGTCCTGTTTATGCTGACTTGTTTAGGAACCAGACGACAGATTTTATGTTTTAGTCTAAAAGGCAAATGAATTAGGGTAAAAGTTTATGCCACTTAGTAAAAACTATTTCAATATATATCTCAAAACAAAAAAATAAAGTAGTTACTCAGCAAATAATTCATCAGTATCAAATCACCGAAAATACCCATTGAGTCATGAAGAAAATAAAAGACAAATTCAGCCAGCGAAGAAAATGCTTCTTTATCGACGAAATCATCTTCACAGGCTGGCTGGCTAGCTTGGCTGTACAGTCGTATTTATACTTACCAAAAATATGTATATATAGTGGTCTATTATTAAGTAATAAGCCAGGATTGGACTACACCGACCCCTAGATTAGAAAAAGGAAGTGAAGAGGTAGAGCACGTTGACCACTACCATCAGCCAGTGCCAACGGGTTGATCTCTGACGAAATCTCAGCTGAGTACGGATACAGAGGGCTAGTTTCGCATGTGCCCACCAGTTTACGCCGTCTCTGGCTTAGTAGACGTGATATCCGGCTGACTGGCTGGCTGTCGACCAAAGGGCGGGTGTACTGCCCAGCCAGCAGTCCGCTCCGTCCTCCTTGATGGCTAGCTGTGAGCAAGACCTGGCCATTGAGAGTGGAAGACATGAAAAGGCTGATTAGCTGTCTTCGATCATAGGTGCCTGCGTTCGCCCTATCTCCCGTGTGAAGTGGCATAATAAGGTGAGGAATATTGAGGTTAGGCGTCGGTCGAGTGCTAGGTAAGTAGGAGGGGAAATCAATCGACGAGACTGTGAAATTACATCGACTGAGATGGTTAGGACATGCGTTACGTATGCATCACTAGTCATCGCCTTCCTCGATTGACGGCAATGTTAGCTGACATAGGGTCAGGCTGGAAAAGAGCTAACGGCGGTCAAACCAAAAGATGGCTTCACCAGTCAATGAAATCCACAACAGTTAGTTTAAGCCAGCAGCCACATAGGAAGGTGTAGACTGGCTTCCTGACTGGTTGGGGTCCTCGGGACGGTAAAAACCAACGAAGGCTGGAGACAATTGGTGATATGGCTCAAAATCGTTATCAATGGCTGGCTAGTGCAGATGCATCCACTTCTTGTGACTTATGATTTCCAATGAAGCTATATTGTTCTTTGTTTTTACTATTCCTTTGTCTCACATCTCTGTTTACTGTCTATATTATGCATTTCTCTGTTTTCTTCTCTTGCTTTGTGTGCTACATGGAGTGTGGTTTACGCTAACAGCTGCTTTCTGCTCCACATATTATCACCTAACAATTGTCGGATCACATTACCATGTTTTCTGCCGCCGACCGCACAACAGCTTTTATTCTGGTGAGTTGGCGACAATTGTCTTCTGTGTTGCCACAATGTCACTCCTCATTGGTAAAACTGTTTATGTGGATTATAGGCGTGTGCTTTAATGATATGAAGTACTTTATGGAATTACTTACTACTGCCACAGTGCTCAAGTTTTACACATACATTAGCACTGAGTCCTAAGTTTGTCGTAACCTTTTGCTTTTTCACCGTGTAACTTTTTTATACTTCAATTCTGCCACAATCAGTATTCCTACCCCCACCCAAGCTTACGACAAATGAATACATCAAAATTATTTTTATCATTCACAGGTTCATGATATTACCAAATTGTTTATTTCGGTGTCAGTAAGAAACACGTTATACAATAGAATACTACAAGGTGCCGTTTCTCACGCACTTCAGTCTTTCCTTTTAATTTAACCTCAGTGTCCATGGATCAGTTGTTAACGTAGCTGCTATTTCTGAGAATATTACTCCAGTATAACCAGTAAAACTAGCTGTTACAACTTAGTATACCATCAGTAAGTCACAGGAAACGTAACTATGCGTAACTGGATTATAAAATAAACCATAAAACACCAGAATAGTTAAAAGTTTGTTCATCAAAATTGAAAAAATAAGTTTACCTACTAAATAAACTGCTAGATTTAGTGCCTCACAAGATCCCAAGTATTGGATCAAGGAAGCATACTAACGACTGAACTATTCTTCAGGCTGGTATTTAGACAAAAACACTAAAGCAATAGAATAAACTAAGGTACAAAATGACAGGCAAGCTGATTCGCCTATTCGCTCCTCACGTTGAGAACAAAAGATAAACCAGATATTTTCACCATGCGTTTACCGAGATATTTTCAATAAGCATATCTATTGAACACTAGTCAACACAGGGATAAATTGAATCCATTCTGCAAAATCATCAATTTATTTAGCCTAGTAGAGATCACCTAGACGTGTACGGCAGACTGGAGGGGTTTGAAAATTGTGGAAATGTGCCTAGGCAGAGGCATGACTGACACGTGTTAACAGCTCCCTCCCTTCTTATATAATCACCTTTAAATAATTACACAAAAATTTCTTCTTTGGGGAAATCTATCCACTATGTACTAGCACTATTCACAAAAATTTAACCAAGACATTTGGGATATAAATTTAATGTGTATTTCATAAAAAAATATGGAGGCTGTTAGTGGGAAAGCATTTATCAAATAGATTAGATTCAGAACACGTATAACGAGATATAACGAGTTGTGAATGTTTAAAAAAGTCGCCATTATGAAGACGAAAAGATTGCCATCGAAGCATCAGTGGCAATATATAAGAAATGTTCCCAAAATTATTGTGTTGGAAAAAAGTTAACTGAACGATTAACGGGAACACAAACTTCATGTGACTTAAGGATTTCAAGAAGAAAACGGGTCCTCAAAACTAACAAAGCGACTAAAATATCCAATCTATTTTGGTCACAACATTCAAAGTAGTTTCATAGTTGCTTGTATATAAGCTCACAACCTTATGGAAACCATACACACTAGAACAGTGAGATATCGTGAATCCGGTGTTGGAATTTTAATTTTGAAGCAAAATTTTCAGTCACACAGTAAGATTTTATCACCCTACACGCACTACTTCCTTAGCGTTACACAGGTGAGTAATATTTCGCATACAGAAATGACAGAAGAGTTAAATGTGGTTTTTACATGCACGGAGATGAATATTTATTTTCCACCGCTGTTAGTATTAACACATAACATTTTTAATAAAATTTCAGCTATTCAGACAAACGAATTTCTCTGGTGTAAGGACAGCTCTAATAACTACACACCGCAAAGTCAAATACTATTTTACGATGAACATAAAACCGGTTATAAAAGTGTAAATATTCTGCTCAGGTAAAGTCTAGAAACATTAGTTGGATGAACCAAGAGATAGGATTAAACATTCCTGATGCATGCAAACTTTGCGAATAAATTTCCACAGTTGTAAAATAAATCTGAAGCTGCAAGCAATAGAAAATTAACTTCAGTACCGACTCGTTTCGGAATTCACATAAAAGTTTCATGACATCTAATGATTTTCATGGCTTTAAGACCCATAAACACGATAAATTTGGTTTCAGAAAGTAGTAAGCCTTAGATGGAAGTTCACAACAGTTTTGTCTAGCACAAATTATCATACCTGCGATTTCCAATCACCACCTTTAAAATGTTTATCAAGGTCGAAACAATCATGTTTGGTATTGTTAAACAAAATTTCCCACTATGGAAACTGCCAACTAAAACACTCAAAATCTGCACATGACTACAATTACTGAACTAAACTACTTAAATATCATTCGTCCTTAGGTTTTAAATGAAGACATTGTCAGAATCCAGTCTTAATTTGACGGTGAAAGTTATGTTCAGTTTTTCCGTGTAAACAATTAGGGATTGACAAGTTTCTAGAAGTAAATTATGCAACTCTGAACCGAGTTGTATTTCAAACAAGAAGGAAACCAATGTAACACAATATCTCCTGGAGATCTGCAAAAAATGCTTTTCAGTAGTATGAAATTACTCCTCATTATGTGGTGAAAATGATAATAACGGTTAAATACATTGAGTCATTTCATGAGAGGATAGCTAGTCAGCCTTTTTTCTTAATTCCAGCACTCATGTTCCATTCTAAACTCGTATCTCGTGCTGCAGACGAGATTTTACGTTTGTCAGATGTAATGCCTGGGTCGTATTTTCAGTAGAACTCTATGGTGACCTGCATGAAAACCAGGAGATCCGAATACTAGGTGAACTTTAAAATCGAAGCTGAAACTGATATCAATGTCCTTATTTTGGAAGACTTCAAATGGAATTTTGAATAATACAGGTAGTGAAGTGACTATTTACCGCCGATCCGCACCACTACCTACTCAGCGAAAAGCAAATTTATGAGTCGCATAGGTGGCAAATAGTTTAGACATTTCCCCTGAAAATACTTTGACTCTAATACATAGCTCCATAGATTCAGACTTTTAGGATGGCTTTGTCATACTTAGTGGCTTGTTTGCAAACAATCAAGAGTGTCTGGAAATTAAAACTGAACTTAATGTTACCGTGTAGGGGATCAAAGTAGTTCAGTTGGATCTCGACCACTTAGGCCAAAGAGTCTGCAGATTGCTTAACCGAAGCTCAGGTCTAGTAGGACAGATTGCCATGCATCAATCATGAGCATTATTTCTAGTAGAAACCAAACGAAGACGAGCTCGAAGTCGTTCAAGCAGCACAACTAACTGGTTTCCTAGAATTAGTGGAACCGAGGTGGTTTACGCTAACAGCTGCTTTCTGCTCTATATCATCACCTAACAATTGTCGTATCACATTATCCTGTTTCCTGCCGCCGACCGCACAACAGCATTTATTCTGGTGAGTTGGCGACAATTGTCTTCTGTGTTGCCACAATGTCACTCCTCATTGGTAAAACTGTTTATGTGGATTTTAGGCGTGTGCTTTAATGATATGAAGTACTTTATGGAATTACTTACTACCACCACAGTGCTCAAGTTTTACACATATATTAGCACTGAGTCCTAAGCTTGTCGTAGCTTTTTGCTTTTTCACCGTGTAACTTTTTTTATACTTCAAT